TTTTCCAGTTCATCACCTTCTACAGCTCTAATAATAACATTTATGCATTTATTACAGATGTAGTAACAGGGCTATAGTACAGGACATGACATTTGCCTTTTTGAATTGGGCAAATCAGCTGTCTCATTCTGGACACTGTCTGTGGCACTAATAAATATTAGATACTTGTGCCAGCAGTAGGGAGAAAGGAGAATAGTACACCAGTAAAAAATTAATTTTTTTTTAAAGCTTTTTATGCCCTGGGTACTGAGAGCCTTTTTCCTGACATCAGTCATGCTTTTCAAAAGTAAATTCAAAGGTATGAAGGTCTTCTACTGTATCTGTCACAGGAAGACAAGTCCAGCAAGGTGTCTCAGATACTTGGGGTTATCCCAGGTGCCACTGAAAATCCCTGGGTTTAGACTCATGCATGGAGCACATGGTCAATGAATCCATAAGCAGTCAACGAATCCAAGAGAATTATCTGGCTTGACCAAAGCAGCATGGAAGCCTTGCTCTCCACTAACTCTTGAATACCTGTCTATCAAAACTGCAGCTGGGTGTCTTAATGAAATTAGTAAACTGATTAAAGCTGCAAATTAAAAACAAGCACAGCAAGGGAAGTAAAAGGTGTGTTTATGTGTCCCACACCATCCAGCAAGTTTTGTTCTGGGAAGAGTTCTGGTCCTCTTGAGCACTTCATGCTTCTCTCCTTAACAATTTTGCTTCCACAGACATGAGAAGCTTCTTTTCTGCTGGAACCTACTTTGGGTCCACTGGAAATGATTCACCAGTACCAGCAAATGCCTTCCAGAAAGTCAGCCTGGTCCTTGCTGGACTCTTAGATAAGAGGGACTTCTGTAGGACCCCTCTTCCTGTAGGTTTCCTTTTATGAAATCAGCTCAGGGCACAGGCAGGATGAGGGGATCAGATAGCAGCACATCCTGCAGCTAAATGAACTCTGATAACTTGCCTAAGAACATTCAGATTTTCATCTTTTGGCTCTCTATGTCTTCCTGAACTTGAATGTAATTACAGCTATCTCCTCTGGCTGGCTGCCCATGAATTATTATCCTGTACATCATCCACGATTTGACATTTATTTGTTCCAAATTAAAATGACCTTTGCTCTTGGGAGATAATAAATTATTTTTGGAATTATAGTAATTCTCTGTCACCTGAAATAATGCACAAAGCCATGTTAGCACCAAAGGCAGGATAAGAAAAAGAAAACACTTCAGATAGGTGAGCAATCAAGATTGATAGATGATGTGTATTGGCGGCTTGCCGTTATTTCTTTTACTGTGCAAATATATTTAATATTTACAATATCTTTTATTAAAAAAACCCCACATTTATTATATATGGAAGGTCTCCTCATGAATCTTCAAGAGAAAAATAACCAAGGGCTCACAGTTTTATCCTAACCAGAGGTTTTACTAACTCAACAGACTTTCCTGTTAGAGATACCTGGTCCCTTTCTTCCAGCAGCTCTGTAGGTCACTTTTTGCAGATGTGTATTTGGGCAGGCTATGGGGCCAGGAGGAAGCTTTATTTCACTTATTTACATGAGGCATTTGCTGAGGGTCTCTAACTCACTTCAATAGTGAGTACCAGCACCAGCCTGCATTAGAAGCAGGAGATTAGGAGGCTTTTTTTCCTTCTCTCTTTGGGAAAAAAAAAATATCCCCTAATGCTCCACAAACTTCTATAATCTCAGTATTTGACAGTTACTGCTGCTGCCCCTCTACAAGCTGTGCCACAGACTGATGTATATGACCTTCAGACCAGTGGATCAGCTTGCAGAAACTCAGATGGGCTGAGAAGATTTGTTAAGGAGCATACCCAGGCACCCTTAACCCTTGTAATTCTACTGCAAAGTAATACTTGTCAGTGCAAGTGGGACATTTCAGTATAATGAACACTCTTCAAACATGCCCGAGGTGACTAGAAATATGGAAAGTAACCCAAATCAGAGATGGATGGATTAGAGAATCTCATTTCCTATTCATCACCAAGTATAGGCACACAGCCTTTGAGACCAGCTTTCCTGTGTCCCTGGCTGGGAATCAGCCTCCTCACAGTGGTCTGCATAAGCAGCAAAGTACTTGCATCCCACATGTTAAAACGGCATAATGCCAGCACAAAGTGTATCTATCACATTGAATGTGAATTCAAGTTCAGAAGAACATCCACATTTTCTTCTTTCTGTCTGAGCAAGGAAGCCATGCCTCAAAAATTATTTTCAGAGCACAGAAAAAATTGTAAGGTAGGTTGGTGACAAATCCTCTCTTTGCATGGTCTAAAGGGTCTCATGATAAATAGCAAATTCTGAAGCCAAATGGGTCAGCTGTTTTGGAGCCTTTTTTGATCATGCTCAGAGGTAAATTAGGAAGAAGTAAAGAGGGAAAACCTGTATGCTGAAATTCTGAAAAAATACAGGCTTAATATTACATGCCATTGAAGGGGTTCAAGTACAGCTTGCTAAGCACTTGCTGCAGGACATATATGAGGTGAACGTTTGAAGGTTGTTACACAGAATATCTCTGGTATAATAAGGAAAGTTTTCTCTTGATGGAAAGTCAAAGTGAGAAAGAAGTGGGAGAGGTAGCTTAGCAGTCCACATTCCTCAAGCTGAATAGGGGCCAGCTTTTCACATTTGCAAAATCTGGAGGGGAATTAGGTCCAGCAGTACCATCAAACTTTAATCTTTAATTGTCTGTTCCAGGTTTGTCACAGCACAGGGTCATTTTGACTTCTGTACAAAACAGACACTGTAAAAATGGAGAGGCTATTTTCCTAATACCAGGAAACAACTATTTTTCTTTCCATCCAGAAGATGTTTCTGACCATTCCTAAGACACTTTAAGATGTTTGTGCAGATCACAAAAATACAGGTGAAACTTCCTGGTGCTGAGGAGCAGCACAAAGCATTTATTTTGCACTTTAACATGCAAAATAGGATTTAAAGAGTGCTCAAGAACAATCTGCAATTATTTTTTCCCCCCCACTCTTCTGTGCTTCAGTACCTGCTTGTGTATCCAGCTCTTCTCTTTTTCATTGAGAATAAAAACAAAAATTTTAATAAAAAAAACCAAACCCAAACTAAAGACCCCAAAACAAAAGAAAAAAACCCTCAAATCAAACAAAAAACCCAAACAAACAAAAAATAAAACCAATCAACCAACCAAACAAAAAAGCCAAAAAGCAAAACCCAGAACAAAACAACCAATAAATATCCCAAACCCCCCAACAAAAACAAAACACAAACAAAAATAAAAACAAATAAAAAAGCAGCAAGTACCTCTCAGTGAGGTACATAAAATAAAAATTTTACTTGATATTAGGTTCATAGACCCCCTAAGGTCAGATAGGGCCAAATCTGGGCCCTCTGAGGTACAGAGAACTCCTAGGAATGGTGAAGGGAGATCAAGGGAGACTGGAAAAGCACACAGAAAATAGCCAAAATTGCAACTAAACCCAAAAGTGGGACTGAATTTAGTCTGGTCCCAAGTGCATCAACATAGGGCTCAAAGCCCTCTCTGTTTTGTCAGCCTGTCAGGAAAATTGGGTTAAGCTCAGAGATATTCAAATCCTTCTTCCAGAATTGGGGGAGACAGTTCTAGGAAGGCAGGTCTTGGGCAGCTTTTTCCCAGGCTGGCGGGAATGAGCTGGTATCATTCCAGCCTTGCTCCAGAACTCCCCAAGGGCACTGGCCAATAAACACCACAGAGATCACTGAGAAGTAAAGGCTGTATTTCTTGAGAGCATGTCCTTCAAATTTTATTTATTTGAAGCAACTTCAGATGGGAATAATTTAAAGGTCTAGGTTTGAGAAGCCAGGCGTAGGTTGTTGCCTGCTAGCAGATTCCATCACTTCATTTTTTTTTGTACCACTGAGGAAAGAAATCTTTCTGTGCCTTTCCTTTACTTCTCTTTCAGTATGTTTCTATAAGCTGTATCTTGGTTCCCACTACCACCAGTGAACAGATTCCCAAATAAAAGATCCTGGAGAAGCTAAAGTTATAATTAGATGACAGAATTACGTGGATCCACATGAAGTGTCTGCTTAGGAGAAACAATTTTATTCAGGAATTGTGGTTAAATTACTAAAATGGGAGTATAGGCACTAATAATGGGTGTGACAGATTATAGTTAGTCTAAATTATTGTTTCTGTCTTCTACATTTACTCAATATGTTTTTTTTCATACTCTATTAGTTCTACAAATTTTTTCCCAGTAATTTTCTGAGCCTTTCTGGTTCAGGACCTTTTCTGGGAAGCTTTTTAGTTCCTTAGTCAACAGTATAAAGAAGATCTGCCATGCATCTGTTTTTTAAATGTCACTGTAACTCCATCACTCAGAGCACCTAAAAAGCTTCTGATGCATTACTCTGGGAACACTTCATGCTTGCATAAAAGGCTTCCTTGGAGAGTCTCACAAGCAAGGGCTAGCCCGGCTGCAATTTTCTATTTTACTTTCACAATATGCTCTCTTCCTTCTCTTGAAAAAGTTTTCATTCTTTCTTCTTTGTATACTAATATGTGTTAACAATAGCAGATGATAAATTGCTGGTTGATTGACTCACAAGTACAAAATCCAACACAGCACTACAATACTAAAAAGTTGACATTCTTAGATCAGTCACGGGAGCTAGCCTGAGTGTGCAGTTGAATCACAGCTTTAAAAAGGAAATATAATGCTTTAGATAGAATGGGGTTTTTTGAAAGGAAGATTTCAGGATCTGTTCCACATATTGTCAAACTTTGCCTCCTGGAAAGGCAGACTTGAGGGAAGAATCAGATTAGTAACATGAGTAAGGATGCAATAAAGTTTCTAGCTTCATTTTATAAGTGCCTTTGCCCAAGAATATCCTGTCTCTCCCAAATCCTTAACCAAACCCAGAACCACAGATCTCATCATTCTCGTCTTTCCAACTTCCAGCCAGCCTCTACAATGTTTCTATATTCCTACTTCTCTGTTCACTTTCATGTCCTTTCTGTTTTTCCTTTGTGTTTCAGCTCTCCCAGAGCCACCTGTATTTCCTCCAGTCCCCACTTCATTTACCCCATAAACTTCTTCAAGTTTGCCTGTTCCTGGATTTCTGGAGAGGTGAGTATAAAGTCAATGACTGCAGTGATGCTGCTGGAGGTACCATGCACGGGTGGGTGGGTGTGTTGGTTCCAGGCAGAAGGGGCCACATGTGAATTCTCCATCTTGTACCCTGAGACATTGCTAAGTGGTGACTCTCACATATCCAGACATCAGTGTCCAAGAAGATCTGAAAAGCTTTATACTTGTACATGTCAAACTTCCTGTCAAATTAGGTAGAAATTGGACAGTGGCTTCAATAAGTGTGAACTGGCAGAAACAGAAGCAGAGAATCAAGCTAAGCATATATAATTTTTCTGTCAGGAAATTGGGGTAGAAGCAATGTAAAAGGGTTCATCTTTAAGATCACGGCTTTCCTAGTGAAAATGATGAGCTGCACTCCGTGGTGTGAAGGAATGAACACCAGGTAAAAGTGAAAGCCAGTTGTCTGCTCTGCTTTAAGTTCCAGAAGTAGTGCCATAATAGCAGTCACAAAACTATCAGTCATAAAATGCCATATGCCAGACCATTATTAAGGTGAAAATCATTGCCTAGCAAATAAACCTGCCTGTTATCAATTTAGACCACATTTTAAAAAAAATCTCTATATAGATATTTTACTATCTCCTTATAATATCATTGTTTTAAATACAGATTAGGAATATCAGACATTTGTTAGTGGTCTAGTCACCAAATTCCATGTCGACATGGTGTTGCTTGTACATTTTATTTTTCAGATATCTTTTATTATTTTTTATATCAATGTCTGATGTATATCAGAAAACATTTCTGCAAATGCAAAGCAGGTGATTGGCTTTTACTTCTGCAAAGTTCACGTTAAAAGAAGAGTAAATCTTCTTCACATGGCTTCTCTGCCTGAAAAACTGCATGGAAATGGAGGAAGTAATATATTGCAGGGGAGAAGCCATAAACTGTGAATGTGAGTTGTATTAAGAGCTCACAGACTCCCATTAATCCTTTTACCTCACACACTCTCCAGAAAAGCTGGGAGCCTAAGGAGACCTGAGCACACCATCTTTTCAAGGTACATAATGCCATGGTTTCACATGAATTAGCCCCAGCAGGTATCTACCAAAGCCAGCCAGAATCAAGTCTCAAGGCAGCAACTTTCTTTCATGTATAATGACAGAAAAGCACAAAGAAAAGTACTTAGCAGAAAATTTGTGCCAGTCTTCAGCATCACCCTGGCTTTACTTTGGAAAGCCTGCTTTGTTCCTTGGGGGGGATGAGTCAGGTACCTAGCAGTGACATTTATGGAAATTGTTTGTATGTGTTAGGATCAGAATATCCACCTGGAGGCTGGTAGTGCTGTTCAGGGGGGAGAATTATGCATGCTGGGGATATGTTTCCTCCTAAATGCATGCATGTATTTCTCAGCTTTGTCATGGGAACTGCAAGGAGCATTTGTAGAAGTAGGAGCCTTGAGACAAAGCTAACAAGACAGGCAGTAGGACAAGGTACTGAGGGGAGAAAATGGCACAGATGTACTGAAATCATTACAGCAACTCTGGTTTATGCTAGCTGAAAGTCTAACTTGGAGATGAACAAGAGATTTAAACAGCACCAAAAGAGCAAAATTCTAACCTCAGCTAAACTAAGGATTGAAACTTTAGCCTCTTCCTGTTGCCTGAATTTCAAGGAACTAATTGTTATCGGTACTCAATGCTACTGAAGCATAGTACATCTGCAATTGTCAAAATGTTGATAATTACAAAGCGTGTAGTTAGGGAGATAAGAAAAGCTCCTTGTCCACATCCTCATCTGACTACTCAATACATTTCACTTCCAAAATGAAACACAGAATTATTTAAAATTAACTGCCTGCAAATACAAAGTGTGCTTTGCAGGGTATGTGACTGTTTGCTCTGTGGAGGATGAACAGAAGAGGGCCCATGGAGGGAACAATTATATCCTGCTACTTCCTTTAAAGCAATTTTAAGGAGCATCAGGTGCTGCTCATAGCTGTGACGATATCTGACTACCCACTCCAGGCAGGCATTAAGGAGCCATAAGAGGCATTTACTGGCTCTCCACCTCCCAGGACTGAGCAGCCACTGAGATCCTTCATGAATTTTTCTTTCAGAATAGAAAAGAAACTTTTGTGTGGCTGCCTGTGATGCTGCAAGTGGTGGCATTAGCCCCACTTGTTACTATGGAGATGCATTCTGTCATCCCACTATAATCATTTTGACAATGACATTTTGTTGTTTTCTTATGAGCCTGCTGTTAGGAGAAAGCATTTTTGCCAGAGATTAAGAAGAGCTGTTTGAGACTCCTGCTTGTATGTCACAGAGAAAAGGGCTGAATCACAGAGTGCAGAAGTGCTTCAGCAGTGATCTGCCTTCACTGGAACTGAGCAGGACTGCAGTGTGCCTGAACTAGAAAATCCCATACAGAAAGTGTGGATGCATTTTCAAGAGTCTACAACAGCACTCACAGCAGGAACCAAGAGTAAATTATCTGAATAGCACATTTTAAAAATATGTGCTACGTGAGGCATGAGCTTCATCTTTTCATTTCATCATGTCCAACACATTTTTTTAGTAGTTGTTGAACAAAAATGCTGTGGGCTTCTGCCCAGTTCTCACCACATGAATTTGGTCATCCTGGGGGATGGTAATTAATTGTCCATTCTAATGTCCAAAGTTAGGAGCGATTCCATTAGCACTGTAGAAATTTGTAATAAAAAATAAAAACATTTAAAAGTGTGGTATGAAGGGAGTAAGAACAGAAACGTATACAAAAGCACCAGAGGAAAGAGAAAAGTTTAAAAGGATAGGAATGTGTTAATCACCATGGAGCTCATTATCTGCTGTTTCATGTGAACAAACTGAACTAAAGTTAAAGCTGACCAGTGGATAAAGAACAGAACTACAGCTTATCAAGCAAGGAAAATAAAAGTTGTGAAATTCAGGAATTTTGACAAACATTTACAGAGGGTGAGTCAAAATCACAAGGCATGCAATCCAACACAGCATCCACTCCTAGAAGATACAAATGACAATTAAAAAACCCAAGATGCATGTTGAGGCCATAGCTGCTGATGTCCTTTGTCCTCCCTGTTGCATACAAATGGTCCAGAACTGCTTGGGCACAGGTGTCTTGGTACTCATGAGTACAGAGGAAAGTGTGTGAAGGAAACCTGTGGGAGATTGAGAGGGAATGTGTAAAATGTGTAAAAGTGACTTGCTAAGGGATTTATGTATTGCAAAATCACATTTATTTTATTAAGATTTCTTGCAGAATTCAGTTACAGTAGTTTCTTACAAAGCCCACTGAGTAATATGAGTATATAGGTCTGAAATGAGCCTTAAGATTTTCTGAATATTAGGATTCCTGAGATGGCTTTGTAGTTATTTCATCTTTTTTATCTTTTTATTAGACTTAATAAAAAGGAAAAAAAATAGCTGGGAAAAAAATAAAAACCTAGAAGCTTTTCTTGCGTATGCTTCCTTTTCTAGGATTTGAAAAGGAAAAAAAGAAGTTTAACTTTTTGCAGGTAAGGGCCTACTGTTCTAATTTATCTTAATTATGTTAATTGCTTAGACAACTTCAAGGTAAAGTTGCATGAATATTTGTCTGCTGGCAAATTTGTTTGCTACAGATCAACCCCAACCTCTTCACAGCAGCATTGCATGGGGGCTGTGCTGTAGACAGTGTCAGCAAAATGAGCCAAACAGCAAATGGCCAAAAAAACCACTACCAACAATAAAACCATCAGTCTTCTTCTATTTTAATCTTTCTATTGGCCAGAATATTGCCTTGGTTACATTTGGAGCATTCAGATCCTCAGAAAATCAGTGTGGACAATGGAGGAGGCAGGAAAGAGAAATGTGAGAAGGAACGATGGTGTCTTTTAAGGTCACAAAGGACTATTCTGCTTTCCCTTACTACCTTTGAAGTAGAGTCAACCTGCTCAGCAGGCTCTGCCTTGCTTCTCTTTCCCCCAGGGCTTGTCTTTATTTATTTAGGCATGCTAGAGAAAAGAAAGGAGGTCAGAGGGCCAGGAACAGCCAATATGGGGGCCAGTGCTGGTGGATTTGCTGCCCAGGGTCTACCAGGCACAGATAAGTTCCTGGGACACTGCAGGCAGAAATCAAGCACAGCTGCTTTGGAGAACAAATGGTTAGACATTGCATTAGGGGCAACTTTAAACATGTCCTAAGTCCTGCCATAATGGAACTGCATTTGCCATGGGACAAATCCACTAAAGGTATTGGCTTCTGCAGTGGTCCTTCTTCAGGGGGATATTACCCAGCCTAATAATCAGTGATCTTGACTTATTCTCATAGACTTTGATGAAAAGGTAGCAAATATTATATTATTTCTGAATTTGGCATATATCTTTGCAAAGCCTCAGAATGTCAAGGAATTAAAGAGCAACCCAAGAAACTGCACATCCAGCAGCTTAGCAAGGCAAACCAGGGCTGTGCAAATTTTGCCTGGCTGGCATAGCATTGTCATTGTTTTTTTGTATTTTATGACAGCCACAGCTTTTTCCTTGAAGTAATTGATTTTCTAAGTGATAGTCTGGTGTTGAGAGACTGCAAGGGGACTGGAATTATTTCTCTGTACAATCACTGACAGGGCATTTTAACTGCTGTAAAGTGAAAGCAGACAGGCTGCAAGAAAGTCTGCATGGCATGACAAAGGCCTGACTTTTGCTCTGCCTATCTTCTAGATGACAGTTAAGTTAAACTTCTCTTTTCTGGTCACTGAAGATCTCTAGGTTTTATTGGTAGGCTAAAAGGTCTGGCCGGTCTCAGCTTTCTCTTTATATTTTAAGTATTCTCCTTTATAAAGGCAAATAGCCTTTGTTTTGAAAAACTAAATATGCCAGATTTAAAAACAGTGCTTGAAGTACAGCTAAAACAAAGTGTGTTCCTTGCCCCAGGCTTTGCTCACTCACTGTGACAATACAGGGTGTATGTTGTTAAGCTTCATATACAAACTCTAACACTCCTTGGCAATTGGGATCAGCACCTTCTGGGAAGGAGCCCC